TAATTTTGTTCGCTCGCATCATAGCGAATTTATCCAATGAGTGACTGAGTCACAAAAGTCAAGAACCATATCAGATCACCTGTCAATGCTGCTGAGATCTCAGCTGGGACAGCAGTGGTCAAGTTATAATTGGTCTTAGGGCCAGAACAGAAAGAGGAAAGTTGGATAGGAAATCTGAAAGTGAGTAGACCATTCAGCCATTGTTGATCATCCAAACGAATTGCCGGTTTCCTCTCTCCCCACACCCCCACCCCACCCCACGTATCCTTTGATCCCTTTAGTGCCAAGTGCTATATCCAACTACTTCTTGAAATCATACAATGTTTTGTCCTTGACCACTTTCTGTGGCAACAAATTCCACAGGCTCACCACTATCTGGGTGAAGAAATTTTCCCTTTTCTCAGTCCTAAATAGTTTACCCATATCCTTAGACTGTAAACAATCCCCTCCCCACTTCTGGATTCCCCATCATTGGGAACATCCTTCCTGCACCTACCTTGTCTAATCCTGTTAGAATTTTATAGGTTTCTATGAAATATCCCCCTCATTCTTCTAAACTCCAGCAAATATAATCCTACGTGGGAGCAAAAACAGAAGTTGCTGGAAAAGCTCAGCAGTTCTGAGGAAGGGTCACCGGACCCGAAACATTAACTCTGTTTTCTCCTCCACAGATGCTGCCAGACCTGCTGAGCTTTTCCAGCAACTTTGTTTCTGTTCCTGATTTACAGCATCTGCAGAGTTCTTTTGGTTTTTAATGTAACCTCATTGCTTTTGCACTCTGTGCTCCTGTTAATAAAGCCTTGGAAGCTGCATCCCTTATTACCTGTACTCTTAACCTGCCCTGCCAACCTCAATGACATATGCACATATATACACAGGACCCCCTATCACTGCAACCTTTCTGAAATTGTACCCTTTATTTTATATCGTCTTTCAATGCACTTGCCAACAAAGAAAAAAAAATCACCTCACATTTCTCTGTGATAAATCTAATTTGCCATTCGCCTGTTGTTCTATGTCCTTTTGAACTTCTACACCACGTACTCATAGCTCTCAATGCTTCCAAGTTTTGTTTCCTCTGCAATCTCCAAATTGTACTCTGAATACCAAAGGCTACATCATTAATACATCACAGGAACAGGAAGGGTCCTAACACAAACCTCTAGAGAATTCACCTACAAAACTTTTTCCAGCGTGAAAGATATCCATTAATCATTGCTCTGTGTTTCCTACCACTCAGCCAATTCGGTATGCATGTCACTACAGTACTTTTTATTCCATCAGCTACAACTTTGCTCTCATGTCTGTCATATGGTGCTTTATCAAAATGCCTTTGGAAGTCCATGTAACATATCAACAGGATTGCTGTGATCAGCCCTCTCTGTTAACTGATTGAGAAACTCCAGCAATTTGGTTCAACACAATTTGTTTTTCACAAACCATGCTGGCATTCAATAGTTAACCTACATTCACAGAAGTGATCCAAATATACCCTTGGGGATTAGTTAGCTCAATTCCTGTACCAGCTCAGATTGCCATGAAAGCCCCAAAATCTCAATGTTAGCCCGTTCCTGAGGTGTGGTGATCCTTAGGTTAAACCACCACCAGCCATCTCTCTCTAATGAGGGAGCAGCCCTATGGTTCACTGGAACTATTGTGACTTTCCCTGAGCAGATATGCCGATGTAAAATTTGACCTTTTGAGACAAATGTACATTCAAATTGTCAGGGATTGAGTTACATACAAGTACACATATTTTTGAGGGCTTGAAAATCCATATCAGTTCTTGTGAATTGCTGATAATTTTACTGTCTTGATGACAGCTGGCATGGTCCTGAAGTCAGCAGGGAATTGCTGTCCTAGCCATCTACATCCATCAATTTAAAAGGAGGGGAAAAAGCAATTGTGAAAAAAAAACTTACTACACTATACCTGATTAATCCTGCTCCCAAAACTAGCATGAGGTATACAAAAGACAAAGGACTTTTGAGCTGAAAATCAAGGGTCGACTTTTACATGATATTGAATATTACTTGGGTATATGCAGTATTGATTGAGTCTAAATGATCAACTCTAGCAGCTTCTCCACCACTGAGGTTAAACTGACTGGCCTGAAGTTGCTGGGCCTATCTTTGACCAAAGACACACAAATACTGGAAATAGTAAATGAAGTGTTGCTAGTGGGAAGGAATATAACAGTTGGGAAGTCTTGCTATAACTGTACAGGATGTTAGCGACACTACACCGAGAGTACTATGTACACTTTTGATCTCCTTAGTTAAGGAAGGATATATGTGCATTGGAAATAGTTCAGAGAAGGTTCAAGACAGTGATTCCTTAGATGAAGGAGTTTTCCTTTGAGGAAAAGCTTGAGGCTATCCTTAGTGGAGTTTATAAGAATGAGAATTGATTTTATTCAAAAATAACATTCTAAGGGGCTTAGCAGAATGGTGCTGAGAAGATAGCTCCCTTCATGAGCAATGTAGAAGTAGGGCTACAGTTTCAATACGAGGTTGTGGGGTCGGGTTGGGGGTTTGGGGGGGAGGTTTGCATTTAAGACTGAGATGAGAAGGAATCTCTTCCCTCTCCCATCCCTGAATCTTTGGGATTTTATTTCCCAGAGAGCAGTACAGGATCACTGAAAAGGTTTAAGGCTGAATTAGATAGATTTTGACCTAAACGACAATAAAGGGTTATGAAGGGCAGGCGGGAAAATGAAGTTAATTAGATCAACTACAATAATATTGAAAAACGGAGTCACTGCAAGCGGTTGTGTCAAACAACAAACTCTTGCTAATTTTTCTTGTAATCTTAAGCATGTATTCAGAGATGCAGCAGCAATATTCTAGGAACAAAAACAAAAAATGCTTGAAAAACTGAGCAGGTCTGGCAGTATCTGTGGAGAGAAAGCAGAGTTAAAGTTTCGGGTCCAGTGACCCTTCTTCCAAACCTGTTCTGAGTAACGTGGACGTGGGTTACTTCCCTAATCCTGAAGATCCTGGCCTTAGTCTTGATATTACTGTTCCTGGTAAGCTAAAAATCAAGTATTTTCAGAACTGTATTACGGATTTAATTACAAAGTTTAGACAAGATTTACAAAAAAAACAGATTTGTTGGAAGCCTTTGAAGCATGGTTGACCTTTGATAACTTTAAGAAGATGGACAGCCAGTCCATGGAATTTGATAAGTTGTACAGAAGACTAACTAAATCCTAGGAATTCTGAAGTCTGTACTTGCGTTCCAGTTATTAGCTTGTGTACAAAATGCCACACATGGATGGACTTTCACATTTGATAGTGTTTCAACTTTATGGTTATGATTCTTTTATGGAACAAATGACCACTGTCCTAAAGTCATTCTGTGGGCAACAATAGTTCCAGCTGCCTCCATGTCACGAATTGTGCGTGTGTGTGTGTGTGTGTGTTTGTGTGTGTGTCCAAGTGCCTTACTACCTACGTTATTTCAGGGATGATAATGCAGTCATGCTTTTCACATGAAAGCAGGGATGCATCATTTTATCCGCACTGATGTCATCCTGTCTTGATGGAAAAAGCAAAGACAAGATTGGACTTGGACAATGGCAAAGCGTTTGTATTTCGTACAATTGTAAATTTACGATTCACTGCATCAGAACATCATTTGGATTCCAGAAAGGAAACTGATATTTCTTGCTGATAAGTTCTAGAAATATTCCTGACCTCTTAAGACAAGAATGTGGCTAACAAGCAGAGGAATATTTAAAAGTTATATAAACAATTTGCCCACCCTTCAACCACAAATATTAAGCTACTACTGAGAGGTGCCAGAGTTGTGGATTCGGAATATGAATCTCCTGTTGAATAAATCACATTGCAATGTGATATATGTATCAAAAATCAGATGACACCATCATGCCCAGTTGTCCATTAACCCAGAAATTTATTGAAGTGGTGGGTATGGATTTGAAAGAATGGGGGAAAGGATCAAAATATTTATCTGTTACATTTGCATAGATATAGCGACTGCGTTCAACACAATGTCACAAATAAACAACAAGGACAAACAGACAATAATGGATGAGATTATGGAAAATTAGAATGGCGTAGGTCTTGAAATAACAATGAATTTATCCAAATTTTCCTGTTATCTTTTCTATGACAAGTTCATGCTTCTGTGAGAGGACTTAGAGTTTGTAGTTATTTGACACGACTATAAAAAGACCATTCAGCAATAGTTTGGAAGAAATCATGCCATAATTGCTGAAACCTTACACACGTGAATCAATCAAATTACAAGCTCTGGCATGAGTGGCACATGCCAAAATGTATTTACAAATGGTGGGGGTACATGTAATCTTAATTTGCCTCTCATAGTGTGTGATAATCCTCCAGCCTTAGAGACAACTATTACCTCCCACTTTCTCTGCTAACTTAAATGTGCTATATACTGGCAGGAAAGCATTTATCAAAGCTAACACACCAGAAAAAAATCTAAACATTAACACATCACATTAGACTGTCTAGGGGAGATTTGGTTCAGGCGATTTGTTTTTTTTTTGGAAAGAGATGGGGCACAGGGAATGGAGAAGTCCTGGAAAAAAAAAATCAGATATGATGGCAAGATGCTGGACAGAATGAAAGCATATTTCTCAAGTCACAACGATGCTTTGTAAAATTACAAATCCTGAAAATACAGGAGTGATAATGACAAGGCACACTGCTTACCCTTTCTGTTTGTGAGTTAGAGTCAGAGGAGAGGGTCTGATAATTCAAAAGGTATATGTCGATGTACGTGTGATCATTAATGATCATCCACTGGTTCTCCATTATCTATCACACGAGTTACATTTTCAAAACAAAACCTCCAGTAGATTTGTTTCATGCTGGCATTGTCTAATCCCAGTAATAATTTCCAAATGTTCTTTTATGGGACAATGGAAACTAGGACAATGAAGTGTTTGCTTTCTTACTCATTCAATACTTTGCAAATAAGTCAATACCATTTTCTCAAACATTCTTTACCTAGATCCTTTGTGTTGTCTGGTGACAGCTTGATCTTGCTATCAGTGATGTCTTTATGTGAAGCCAGGAACAGCACGACTTCTCCTTTTTCATTCTTAATTGGGACAATATCGAGCAGACACCAAAACGATGCACCTGGAAATGAAGAAAAGATATCATTAGAGAAATTTAATGTTGGTCCAAATGATTGCAATATTGTAATACGTTTAACTAAGATCAATCAGAAAATCTACGCCAATAGTTCCCAATTTCTCTTCTGTCTATTGTAAATGAAGGATATTGATATGTTCAGACTTTTGTTGTTTGCTGAATGCAGTGAAATCAGGGACATGTATAGAAAAAAGCTGGCCAGTGATCATTCTTTAATGCATGCATAATGATCTGCGTCCAAGATCTGTTTGTTTAAAAGATCCGACATTTATTATGCACCCTACTCATACATGCTGTGCTCTCCTCTGAATAGGAATATGTTTTATTAATACATCTCTCTCCCCTGGTGGTTGACCCATGCAAATTTGTCCAAATGCAGATCAGCCCAAATGGCAAAGAAGGAATTATAACTCAGATTTGAGTTCCACTCCATTAACCACTGGTCACGTGGACAGATTGATTTTCTTTCATATTTCTCGCTGGATTGCAGGTTACAGCTAATTATGATAGCTAACTGTTTTACCATTCCTCTCCAATAGTTGATCTAGTAGCAAAATTAATTAAGAGCAGGGAAAAAAAAGTTGAGCAGCCAGCATGGATGCATATGGAGAAGATTGTGACTGACAATTTGTATTGAGTACAGCACTCCCAGCAGGGGGCTCCATTTTGTGGGTGGATAACCTGCATTTACAAAAGACAGAGATAGTAGGAACTGCAGATGCTGGAGAATGCGAGACAACAAGGTGCAGGGCTGGATGAACACAGCAGGCCAAGCAGCATCATAGGAGCAGAGAGGCTGACGTTTCAGGCCTAGACCCTTCATCAGAAAGGTCTAGGCCCGAAACGTCAGCCTCTCTGCTTTTACAAAAGACAGCCTGCTTCTCCTAAATGGGGAGGGTCTCTAACACTACCAAAGTTGGTGAAGCTATGTTAAAAAGTCCTTGTGAGAATGAACAAGGCTGCCAGTGCAGGAAAAACGAGAAAGAGGGCTCCCGGGTTTGTTGATGTTGCATTGGAGATCATAGCACAGAAGGTTGAGAGAGGGGAGGGCATTCACATTATGACAGGGAGCCTGTAAAAGGAAACGGTGTTCAATCTGCAGAATCTGGCACCAACGATCTAGCTCCATGGCCGGCAAAGGTTCAATGACCTGCTGCATGTGGGTAAGGTTAATGAATGCAATTTCAACTGACCCCTCTTTGCACAAGCCTCTCATGCTACTCAGTGCATTACAGTTCCATGTTTCAGTGATCAGGATTTATACCTAACATTCAGATCCTCCATCCCAGCCTCATAGCTTCCAGCCTTAAACCACATCTTACACTTTACACTTGCTTTTAGATATTTAGCTATGGTACATATGTCAGCTGAATAAATTACAACACACACCCGTCAGTGGTCTTCCCTCTCCCCTGTAGGGCTAAGTTGCATGCAATAAATACAAAGGGGCATCAGAAAATCCATGGAGATGGGAGGATGGAAATACCAGCATCTCTTGAGCTCCTCAATGCTCCATAATTGAAGAGCCACTGGAGAAGGGTCCTGACCCAAAACAACAGCTTTCCTACTCCTCTGATGCTGCCTGGCTTGCTGTGTTCCACCAGGTCACACTGTGTTATCTCTGACTCCAGTTCTTACTATCTCAGGAATTAGAATTAGAATCCCTACAGTGTGGAAACAGGCCCTTCGGCCCAACAAGTCCACGCCGAACCTCAGAGCATCCCACCCAGATCCATCCCCCTATGACCCACCTAATATACACCCTCTACCTCCCTGAACACTATGGGCAATTTAGCATGGCCAATCCACCTAACCTGCACATCTTTGGACTGTGGGAGGAAACCGGAGCACCTGGAGGAAACCCACGCAGACACGGGGAGAATGTGCAAACTCCACACAGACAGTCGCCCGAGGCTGGAATCGAACCCAGGTCCCTGGCGCTGTGAGGCAGTAGTGCTAACCACTGTACCACCGTGTCGCCCGAATGATGATAGTATGTTGCACCCATATCGCCCTCCTCTTGTGGCAGACTGTTCCAAACATCTTACCACCCTTTATGTGTAGAGGTGCTTCTTAATATCTTTCCTGAATAGTCTAGCCCCACTTTCACACTGTGTTGCCTTGTTCTAGAATTCTCAACCAGTGGATATCGTTTATCTTTATCTACCCTGCCTTCTCCTGTTAATATCTTGAAGACTTTGACCAGATCACCCCTTGGCCTTCTATATTCTGGAGAAACTAGGCCTAATTTGTGAAATTTCTCCTCGTAACTTAATCCCTGAAAGTCCAGGTCCTTGGCGAGGTTGTGCAGTCTTGCAATGAAGGACATTGCTCTCTTCCAAAAGGTCAGTGAAGTTTAGAACGGGAGACCACCATTCCATACCTTCATATTTGTTTATATACCCACATATTGCTCGTAAACAACTCCTAACCCAATAGCCACAGTTTTAGATATTTTCTAACCAACCTGTTCAGAGATGCTATTACTCATCGCTGGAGTAGGTGGGACTTGAACCCAGGCCTCCTGGCTCAGTGGTAGGGACACTTCCACTGCAGCACAAGAGCCCCCATAGCTACAGTTTTTTTTATTGTTTTAAATATCAGAAGTGCTGTCTCAACAACCAAACAATCTTTTGTCACCACCAAATCACCGAGACTTTTTTTGTACTATTAACTGCCACCAGTAAATCACCTGCATAGCCAATTGGATATTTACATGTAAAGCTTGTTACAGGCAACATATAACCACAGTTTTAATCTGTGTTTATTTCTAGGAATCTGCGGAATTCCTTTTAAACACCCATCAGCTGACTATAATTAAACACAATTGATCTTCATTTAACAAATGCCCCTTTCTATTTAAATGTAACTAGAGATGATATACGCAAACATAATCTGTACATTGTGAAATGTTCCTCTTCCAGGACCTAACTATTTCTTTGTACGTATTTCTTTCTTTGTGTGAAACAATTAGACTGTTGATATTTCACACACATCTAAAATTAAATAGAGATTTCCTTTCTCCCCACAACTTGATTCAGAAAGGTCAAGGGTAATCTTTTCAAACTAACTTTTCAAAACAAGTACATTAACTACATAACAGTCAATAGGTGTTCTTCATACAGAATCTGACTTAAAATATTTGACAAATAGAATCTCATATCCACCACCTCAATAGAGCCAATGTTTTAGCAGCTAAAATAGTTTTTTGAATAACAATTTTATTTTCTTAGTCTTCCAAGATAAGGGAATTATTTTCCATTGTGAAACCAGAAGTACTAAAACACCCATTGGAAGATTAGCATATAAAGCATCACTAAAAACGACTGGTTGCAAGTGCAGGTACGCATTTCTCCAGATTTAATTTTAATATTTTTGTTTTCCCTTAAACTTCTCAACTTTAGGATGTCTTATCATAGCACGTAACTCCAACACACCAAAATAAATACTTAGTCTAGCCTGAGTAATTAACCAGTTCAACTGACTCATCAAGCTTTGCAATTGTTCCGTATCTTCTTTAGATATAATATCTAAGATGGTGGTGAAGTCGGATGCTTCAGCCAGAACTCGTCCACTCAGTCCATTTTATTTTTCTTTCCTCTTTCTCGGTGATGTCTTGAACTTCTGACCTCAGCACTGACTCAGTGTGGCGTCCTCTTGGCCCACCATGGCGGTCTCTTGGCCTGGCATGGTGTCCTCCTGGCCCAGCATGGCCTTCTGGCCTCAAGGTGATTCAAGACCCAGCACGGACTGGAGGTAAGGTGCTGGGGTGGACTGGGTTGGAAGGACTGTTACACTGAACTTCTTAATTTTTTCTGTTTTTCTAATTTTTGCCTATGATCCGTAATGCTGCATTTTGATTTCTTTACTTCTCTTCCTAAGAACTTGTACTGAAGAATCTGCACCAAGGTACCTTGCACCTAAGATGCCATTGTGAGTGGTGACTTATAAACTTTTCACCGTACTCATTTAAGTACATGACAATAAAGTTAATTCAATAGTCTCACAGTGATGAGTTAATTGTGATTAATTCAGATCGGAGTAAAATTCTCTGAACAGAATTGTTGATTTTCAGCTATTCCAGAGTTTCTTTGTTTAATATCTAAATACAATCCTGACTTTCAATTTTAAATTTGATGGATCATTTTAACAACACGTTTCCCAAATTGCACAGTACCACCCCATAACTAATCCCAAACATGCATTATGAAGCCCAATAGTTTTCCTTTACAATAAGAGATTGTGGAAGAATCTGCTTTTAGTTGAACATCTTCTCAAGAATATCTAGACATGGGCACTAAATGCTGGCCAGCTAGCGATACCCACGTCTCACGAGCGAATAAATAAAAAGCAACTTATTTTCAGTAAGAGGAATTTCACTGAAAAATGCTGCATCCTGGAAGCACTATTTAGGATTGTCTGAAATTTGTTTAGCTTCCATTGTTCATCTTTTGTATCTGCTACCTCTTTGGCAGTTTCAGAAAGTTGCAGCCTTCCAGCTTATTCACAAAGGAAAAGCAATCACCAACTACTTAAGGAAATAATGATTAACACTAGCCCCTCCCCTCTACTCTGAATAATCACTTGCACCAAGTTCACAAGTTTAGCACTCTGTTAATGAAGCTTTCACAATAACTCATTCATAGTCTGTGCTGGAACAAATATATGGAGTTTATGATTCACACTCAAGTTACAACTGCAAATTTTTAAGGACACATTCTATCCAAAAGTAAAATACCCTGGATGTTGGAAATCTGACATAGTCACAAATTACTGGAAACACACAACAGATTGTCAGCATCAATGGAGTGATAAAGACAGTTAACATTTCAGAATCTCTACAGTGCAAAAGCAGGCCATTCAGCTCATTGAGTCCACACCAATGCTCCAAAGAGCATCCCACCCAGACCCATTCCCCCACACTATCCCTGTAACCCTGCATTTCCCATGGCTAATCCACCTAGCCTGCTCATCCCTGAACACTATGGGAAATTTAGCATGGCCAATCCAGCTAACCAGCCAACATCTTTTGGATTGTGGGAGGAAACCGGAGCACCGGAGGAAACCCATGCAGACACTGGGGAGAATATGTAAACTAAAAATTGCACACAGTCGGAGGGAGATTTTAAAAAAATGCAGTTTCTGAGAGTGCATGGGTGAAAGTAGAAGCCCATGTTCTGCTAATTTACGTCATCATCTGTTTTAGCAACTGTTATAGTAACTGCAGCACAAGCATCAAGTTAAACCTGTCCTGAGCACCATACCGTGATAGAAACCTAGATTCACAGAGCTCTACAGCATGGAAGCAGGCTCTTAGGCCCAAGCTGCCCATATTGCCCAGCTTTCACAATTTAATTATTTCCATTAGCCTGCGTTTGGTCCATATCCCTCCATGCATCTGTGTTAATGTTTCTTAAATGACAAAATTGTACTCGCTTCCACCACTACCTCTGATAGCCCATTCCAGACACTCACCACCCTCTGTGTGAAAAAAAATGCCCCTCTGTACCCTTTTGTATCTCTCCCCTACCAACTTAAACCTATGCCCTCTCGTTTTAAACTCCCTTACCCTGGGGAAAAGTTGTCGGCTATCTACCTTATCTATGCCTCTCACAATTTTATATACCTCTATAAGTCACCCTTCAGTCTCCTACGGTCCAGGGAAAAATGTCCCAGCCTATCCAACCTCTCCTAATAACTCAAACCTTCTAGTCCTGGTAGCATCCCAGTAAATCTTCTCTAAATTAATAATATTCTTTCAATAGTAGGTCGAGCGGAGCTGCATGCAGTACTCCAAATGTGGCCTCAGCAACGTCTTGTACAGTTACAAAAAGATGTCCCAACTCCTACACTTGATGAAAACTGAAAGAACTGCGGAATGCTTTAAATCAGGAACAAAAACAGAAGTTGCTGGAAAAGATCAGCAGATCTGGCAACATCTGTGAAGAAAAATCAGAGTTAACGTTTTGGGTCCATTGACTGTTCTGAGGAAGGGCCACCGAACCCAAAACATTAACTCTGATTTCTCCCATACTCAATGCTCTAGCGATGAAAGCAAGCATTCTGAAAGCCTTCTTCACTGCCCTGTCTACCTGTGGCTCCATTTTCAAGGAGCTATGAACCTGTACCCCTAGATCGCTTTGTTCTATAACACTCCCCAGGGCCCTACCATTGACTGTGTAAGTCCTGCCTTGGTTTGCCTTATCAAAACACAACACTTGTCATTTATCTAAATTAAACTCCATCTGCCATTCCTCAGCTCACTGGCCCAGTTGATCAAGATCTCGCTCTATTCCCAAATTACCCTTCTTTGCTGTCCACTATACCACCAAATCTTGGTGTCATCCACAAACTTACTAACCATACCTCCTAAATTCTCATCCAAATCATTTGTATAAATGACGAATAACTGTGGACCCAGCACCAATCCCTGTGGCACACTGCTGGTCACAGGCCTCCAGTCTGAAAAACAACCATCTACCACGACCCTCTGTCTTCCACCATCAAGCAAATTTTGATTACAATTAGCTAGCTCTCCCTGGATCCTATGACATTTAACCTTATTCAACAACCTACCATACAGTTCCTTGTCCAAGGCCTTGCTAGACAAAGTCCACCACACTTCCCTCATCCACCTTCTTGGTTACCCCTTCAAGAAACTCAATCAAACTCGTGAGACACGATTTCTCATGCACAAAGCCATGCTGACTATCCCAAATGAGCCCTTCACTCTCCAAATGCCTGTAGATCCTGTCTCTCAGAATCCCCTCTAACAACTTACCCACCACAAATGTTAGGCTCACTGGTCTGTAGTTTCCAGGCATTTCCCTGTAGCCTTTCTTAAATTGTGGCAAAATTAGCCACCCTCTGATCTTCAGGCACTTCACTTGTGGCTATTGATAATATAAATATCTCCACTAGGAGCCCTGCAATTTCCTCCCTAGCTTCCCACAAAGCCCTGGGATACGCTTCACCAGGTCCCAGGGGTTTATCTACCTTAATGCACTATAAGACATCCAACACCTTCTCTTCTGCAATATTGACACTCTTCAAGACATCACTATTTATTTCCCCAAGTTCCCTAACATCCATACACTTCTTGATAGAAAATACAATAGATGACCTTGTTGATCTTTAAGAGGCCCTATTCTCTTCCTAATTACTGTTTTGCCCTTCATGTACTTGTTGAATCTCTTTGGATTTTCCTTTAGCTTATCTGCCAAAGCTATCTCGTGTCCCCTTTTAGCCTGTCTGAGAGAGTGCCACTCTTTCTCTTTCCCTAATGCATAGCAGAGCGTAACATTTTGGTCATTGTTCAATATGGGAGCAGGACAAGTTGGAAAGCCTTCAGATTGTTAACTTTTATTCAACAAAAGGAAAATATAAACAGAAGAAGCTGCATTTGCTTCTGTTTGTAAACAGGACTGCTTGCCTTTTCAGTATCAATACATCTCAAGTCAATGAACAATCACTTCATCCAGTTATGATCTATTGGAAGTGGGTATCAATTAAGTCCACCCTCCTAAACAAATCATTATCCACTCTTTTGTCTGTCCAACTGTACTTATCACTTTCTGGGCTCTATCTCCAATTTTCGTTTGCTCCTTAACTCCTCCCCCAACTCTACCTTCTGCATAAAAAAACTTCTTCCTAGCTACCATCTGTAGCTAGTGCTGAGGAAGGTCACTGAATCTGAAACATTAACTCTGATCTCTCTCTACGGATGCTGCAAGACCTGCTGAGCCTTTCCAGCAATTTCTATTTTGGTTTCTGATTTCCAGTATCCGCAGTTCTTTCGGTTTTTATCAATTAAGTCCTGTCTGGCTTGTTGCATCCAACACTGCACTGCTGTATCACGTTGTAAGCGATCTTCCTCCTCTGTGGACTGCTGCCATTCTCACAACTCGTTAATGTCAAAACGCCTCCTGATCGATGAGATGTAATTTTTTTCTGGCAGTAAAAATATTTGTTGAATTGTACAGACATCATTACAGGAAATGTTTACACTTTTTATGCAATGCTCCCAGCATTGGAGGCGATGCTGAGCCACAGATCCGCACATTCCTTGGCAACAGGGCATGTGATTGCAGAGCCTTTCACTTCTCCTTTGTTATTTACTGTCACCCCTGCCTTGTCTTTGAAGTAGAGAAACACCCAGTCTTTATTCTGGTTAGCTTTCCGTTGCTGTATCACTACTGCTGGATGCACCTTTTTCCTGAGCTCTGGTTTGTCTTTCTTTACAGTTCCCATGATCATGTCACCAACAAGAATGGCTCATAGGCATCAAGAGACATTTGAACGGACTATGACAGAGATGATGTACAGGTTTTTGGCCCCTGTATTATTAACACAGTTGATCATAATCCCCAAGGGGAGACCAAGGGTGATGTGAAATCTCGCTCTAGATGAACTACCACATCCCCTCTTAAACATTGTGATTCAGAGATATAGTATCTAAAGGTATCAAAGAAACTTTAAACAAACTGGACTGATCTCTTGTGACAACAGGGGTATTGAAGGGCTGATATTCACTTACTCAGCAGCAAACCACTCCTGCAGATTACATCTCAAACTGCTGACACAGGTTGTGTTTTACTGTCCAGGAATACACAAAAACAAGGGCAAGAAAAAGGTCAGTTTCAACTCTAACGTGGATTAGTGAGACTGAACATGGTCATGTCTACCAGCTTGGGATTGAGAGTTCGCAAGCTGTGACAGTCACAATCAAAGAACTATCCCTGAAGTTACACTGTGGTGCAGATAAAAACCCTCTCTCTCTAACTTAGAGCTGTAAACAGTTAAAAAAGAAAACAGGACCGCAAAGGACTCTGTTTCACCCCGAACGTTGGGATTCAATCACAGTCATAAAGCATCAGAATTACCAAATTTCAACCAATCTGCTAAATGACGGATTCACCTATCAATGTCAATTAACATCGACTACAATGGCCAGAATCTGCTCTTCACACAAAAAAATCAGAGAGTGATCTGTACATCCTTTCTTTAAACTTTTATCTTTTTGAACTCACCTTTTAATTTTAATCTCAGTGTTATGTGTGGTATATTACTAATTCGCGCGTTTAATGATTAATTAAGTTCACTCTTCTTGTTCATTCAACAAAGCTTGTTGAAATTGGCTCCTTTTAAAAATAAGCTTATTTGATCTCGCAGCAAGTGGGGAGAGAAGTCAGAGTTAGTAGTTCTGGTCCAGTGACCCTTCTTCAGAATACTGGACCCAAAACGTTAACTCTGATTTATCTGCACAGATGATGCCAGACCTGCTGAGCTCTTCCAGCAATTTCAGTTTTTGTTTCAGACTTCAACATCTGCAGCTCTTTTGGTTTTTATAAATTCATTTGGGTCTGGGAGAGAAGGATTCACAAGGGAAGGCATCCTTTATAAATTGACCTTCTAGTAACCAAGTAAAGGGCTCTGGAACCTGAATGGATTGGGGAACATCACCCAGGATCTAGTTGTTACACAAGATATAGGTGTCATGACAACTTCCAGTGTACCTAGCATAGTGTTCTAAGATTTGGTAACAACAATCACAGGTGATAGTAGGAACTGCAGATGCTGGAGAATCCGAGACAACAAGGTGCAGGGCTGGATGAACACAGCAGGCCAAGCAGCATCATAGGAGCAGA